CGTGCTATACCCGTCCCCTTAGTCAAGGGCCTAGCGAGGCCACTATTTTTAATAGTTTCTGAGGTGTCTACCCACCCGTTCCCTTGCGACAGAATTTTAGGAAAGTTTGATGATACGATGCGGAGGAGGAGCAATTCCGGAGGGGTGGCTAAAGTTCTGGAAAATGCTCCCTCTATTTACAGATATCAAAGTCGCGGCATAGTGGTTCTCGTTGCAGGCGCCAGAGCGTCTGCGGCTCACGTTTGGCGCGGCGCTACCATCAGTTGCTGTCGCTTGTCCGCTTGAACAGATAGTGGAGAATAGGCTGGCGCCGCGCCAAATCCACCCCCCCCCCTGACATGCCCCAGTGAAAACGATTGAATGAACAGGAAGGGCTTGAAGGCAGCGGGAACGTTGACTGGGAGCGGGCAGTTACTGCCCGCGTCATTGGTGGAAGGGCTGCGAGAAAGCGTCTGGCAACACCTCACCCAGTCCTTCACCAATATCGTTTGCAGCGGCGCCTTCCTCCAGCCATCGTATCCTCTGCCTTTGAGATTAGGGTCATCCATATATTGCCAAAGAGATGGGTTTGCGCGATTGCCCCCCCCCCCCCTCGGCCTACCGTTTGAGGACAAACATACATTTCTTCACACATGGGTCCGCACTATTGCGCTAGTCTTGCTCGGCAGGGTAAAAACGCTCAAATATAGCGCATATAGAGTGTTCCTCCTTAATCAATCCCCCTTCTTGATATGCGGTACGCATTCAGCTTTAATTTAGGATTGTAGTTATTTATTGAATGCGATGTGGCTTATATAATGAGTTGTGATGGGGGGCAGCCGTGTATAAATTAGTGTTCTCATCCTACCAGATGAATCAGGCATCCTCCCAGATGAATCTGGTAGAAGTTTACCGTCCCCGAGGGATTGAAGGCTTGGTTGGCCTGGTTAGAAGCCGATCAGGGGTTCGAGGTTGGCCTGGGTGGGATCCGATCAGGGATTTGACTACCGCACCACGAGCTTGGTACGTATCACTCGCCACCACATCACCTCCGTTCAGCTAACCGTTAATGTTTGCATAAGCAAAAAACGTGGAAATCGTTCACGTTTATTCTCATAGAAATTGATCACCGCTGGGCTGGCCGTTTCTGACCTTCAAGCGTTCTGAGGTGATGCATTAATAAGATTTCTGTGCTTTCAGCAATTGAACACAGCACTTGATGAAGCACGTGTCTGGATGAACGGTATCGACGATCTGAAGCTTTGGTTGGAAGATATCGGATCGAAAATTCCCGATGACCAACTTTCTACTGGTAACGTGAACGTACTCAATCAACAACACAACGACATAAAGGTCAGTAAAGATGAGCTTCTTATTGGCTGTAATCCTGAAATTTCTTTTTTTTAGAAGATGCAAGCTGAATTGGCAGCTCGCCAGCAGAGCTTCGATACCACATACAAGCGTGGCCGCGCGCTGTTCGATCATGCACCACGTTCGGAAGCCAAGCAAATTCATGAAATGTAAGGACACCTAGCGCCAAATTCCTCCCTGAGCTCAATATCACGTATATATTGCAGAAACGAAGGACTCAAAAAGCTTTGGAACTCGGTGGCTGAAAAAGTGAATCAGAAACGTATTGCTGTCGAGCAGGTACGTGCTAAAACAAGATTATAAGTCTAGAAAAACAGGCGGAACACAGTACCTCCCAAAGTTGTGCGCGCGTAAATTTAAATGTCTCCACTTCGTGGATGCACACAATAAGGAACACCGTAAGCGTGTTCAGGAAGCGAGAGCGGTGCTAGCTGCGCCTTTCACCTGTAGCCAGGGGCTGCCTGCTCATACACATTCAGTTCTACGCGTTATTTGGGATACCGTATCCTGCCTGTTTTCCCAAACGTGATTTAGTAGTGCTGAAAAGGCTTTCAACCGTATCGAGTTCATGGATGGGTACTGTTCAGGCTCTTCTCGAGAGCAGCGCATTCGATGATGCTGTACTGGAACTCGAGTCGTGGATTGATGCTGAGCTGACGAAAAATGCCACAGCTGATGGACGAGTGCTTGGTGACATTGACACAGTCAAAGTGCTCGCCGAAGAACATCGAAAGAGGGAATCAGAGCGATTGTCAAAGCAACGAGCTCTTGATACTATTATCACTAAGGCAGGGTTTCTTTCCAGTTTGATTTCGAGCGCGATACAGTCTGGCGCGACAGGGCATCGGGATGGGTGAAATGGTAGTGACAATACGACCCCGCAACCCTCCAGTCTGACCCCTTCTCATCTACCTACCATCCTTCTGGATTTTTCTGAAGTTTTGCCGGCGAAGTGGAAGGGATATGTGTAACATGGGGTGTCATACGTTGGAGGTCCTTGGCGAGGGAGAGGGGAAGACGTATTTGCCCTTATCATTTGTTGACAAAAAAGCACTTCTCCCTGCCCGTCGACGGCAAGTTTTGATGGTAAAGTGGAGATTTTTTTGCGAAAACTCCGGAAACGTCGTGGAAAGTTGGGGAAATTCAGAAGGTAGGTAGGAGGGATGGAGGAAGAGGACGAGCCGCACCGGAGGGAATTCTTCATATTTTGCAAATAGTTTCTCCAACGGCAGGACGTGCCCTGATACACAACTTCGATCAACTATCGCTATAATCTTTACGAGCTAGTACTACACCAAATAGGGGTTCCTAAGGGGCAAGGGCTGTTGAAGGGGCGGAGTCGCGTGAAGCGGTAAAAACCAACAAGGCCAATTCTGGCCAAGTACGACCACCTCATGGGTTTTTTTTTCACAACGGTGTTGCACCTTGGTACGAAATAAGGTCAGGCTTGGTCGGAGTGAGCTCTAAGCGTTCGTAGGCTACTTTCGGAGGTCCTGGAATCAGGGCACATCCTTGCATTGGGGAGAACTTTGCGAAGTTCCATCCCCCCCCGAAATTTCTCTATCGGCCCCTTCTTCTATCTTTCTCATAACAGTTATCAGAAATAGTAGTGTTGTGACACCGCCAACTAAGCGCGCATGGGACAGGAAAAATCAACCACTATAAAGAAACTTCCCAGTGCGAAAGCCTTCTCCCTGGCGACACCCCACCCATCTTTTTTTCTTGTCTCCATCCTACACGTGCCCCGGAGAAAAAAAAAAAAAAAAAAAAAAAAAGAGACTGTAGGTCCGAATTTGTACCCTTATTCTTTCCAGGCAAATCAGCTGTCAGCGAAGAACGTGGATGAAAGCGGCAATATCACAACTGCTTGCGATCGCGTGAAGAACAAATGGTCCCAGTTGGAAGACGAGTCTCGAGCTCGTGCCGCTAACATCGACAACGCCCTTGCTCGTGCAAGCGATTTTGACAGAAAAGTTCACGAGATCCTCGACTGGCTGGTGGAAATCGAAGGAAAACTTGCGGTTCGCTATCGTTTCTCATAAACTTGATTTTGGCCCCAGCTGTGGACTACAGAACTTGCTTTTCCTGATGTTACCGTATTTGCAGACTTCAAACGTTGATCTGAGACAGGCACTGGCAAAAGTTGAAGACATCAAGACGGAGCTGAGTAACGCTCGCGACAATCGTGACGCGTGCCTCGACGCCGGAAAAGCCTTGCAGGCAAAATGCCACCCGCGAGCTGATCAACCGCTTAAACATTGGCTGAGAGCCGTTGAAAATCGATGGAAGGTAAGGAGTTCCTCGTAGAAATACTGTAATTTATTGTAAATTCTTTCTCGTTGTAGGAGGTGGAGGAGCGGGCAGCAGAGCGCGAATCGAACCTTTTGAACCAGCAACAACAAGAAAAGGAACGCGAAGAGGCTCTCTTTGAACTGCTAGAATTTGTTGCCCATAAGCGGGAAGAACTAAATCGAATGCTTGCGCAGGCACTCCCACAGGATCTCGAAGCGGTAAGGGCTGTATATCGAACAGGGGACCCCTTATCTTGGCTAATTTCGTATCTTACAGATGCGTAAGGCGCAGCGCACCTACGAGGAGTTCGATTTCGAACTACGTGAGAGGCAGGCAGATGTCGACGGAGCGGTAAAACTCAACAAAAAGGGCAAGAGGTAAAACGCTAGCGAAAATCTTCAATCAAAGGCAGCGGGCATGACGGCTGGAGGCGGGCGGTTGTCGCCAACGTCATCGGTGGAAGCGCTGAGTGGGGCGTGGCCAAACGCCCTCCCCATCCCTTCCACCAATGGCAAAAGCGCCCACCCGCGTAATCGTGCACACTGCCTTTACCGAGTGATAGCCTGCTTCTAATCGGAATAGTTGCAGCAATGCCGCTGCTGGAAAGCTTTCTGACGAATGGAAACAGTTGTGGCTGGATTCGATCGGTCACCAGACAGCCTTAGAAGGCCAACGTCAACTACTGGAGGAAATGCGTCGATTAGAAGGATGGCGATGGGAGATGTGGAAGGAGCAGTACGTGGACTGGAATGATCATCGAAAGGTAATTCCTACGAGAGACCGGCAAGGCAATCGTCACGTTGTCGCGCGCGGTGTACTGTGCGGCTGTGCGCGGAAAATTCTCGATGCTCGTTAGTTGTCGATTAGAAGAATGGAACTCGTATGAATTCAATCGGAGACAGGACTCCGTAGCGGGTGATATAGACTTTTTCAAATCCAAGCGACCAGGCAATTCGTTCGTCGATTGCAATGCCGCTCACCACGCCCACTAGCACGACGCGACGCGACGATTGTCTTGTCACACACCCCAGGCTCATAATTGTGGCAAGTACCGTCTCTTAATGAATTTCTTGCAGGCTCGTGTTTCCGATTTATTCCGTCGCTATGATCGCTCCCATACGGGTAACATCCCACGGGATGTGTTTATAGATGCGGTTCTTGCTTCCAGTAAGTTTTCCTATCGGTTGATTGATGAAGGTTCTCGCCTCCTGTACATAAGACGTGTTTAGACCCTGGGTTATCCCAATAAAGGAGCTTCAAATGTACAATTGCAATTGTAGACTAAAAGACACACTCCGCGATGATCGGATGTGAAGACAAATGAGCGGCAATTGCCAGTTATTCCTTCCTCACTGGTCTTTTCTTCCCTTTCGACACGGTAAAGAGGAGGGGCGGACCAGCGAGAGAGGTGCAATATTCATGAGTCCCCGCCCATCCGATCATCGCGGAACGTGTCGTCATACATGCATATTGGATGCACTGCACTGTGATATGGAACTCACATTTTCAGAATTCCCTACATCGCGTCTAGAAATGAACAAGGTAGCGGATCTTTTCGACAAAGGGGATGGTCTGATCAACTCGAAAGAGTTCATTGATGCGCTTCGTTTTGATCGAAGTGTAAGTCTGTTTCCTTTATTTCCATTGCAGACCGTAATTCGTGAGAAAGTATAAGGCAGCTCGCGGAAAAGCTCGGTCTCACGCAAAGAAGAAAGTTCCTAGATAAGGATGAAGACTCAAGTCTCCGCCGTCGAAAATCTTTTTTGGGGTGCGGCGAGCATTCTACTTCCATTCAGGATCGTGGTGGCTTATTGGATGGGGTGCGGCTTATACGAGTGTTTTGCAGGGGCCTGCTGATTAGAAGTCACTGTTCTTATCCTCCCAGACGAGTCTGGTACAAACTTCCCGTTACCTTAGGGGAGAAAGCCTGGTTGGCCTGAACGGGAGCCGATCCGGGATTTGACCCCCGGACAGCGCGCGTGGTAAGCGGGGGCCCACTTGGAACTACGCCATCACCGCCCCATAAGGCCAC